CTCTCTCTCTCTCTCTCTCTCTCTCTCTCTCTCTCTCTCTCTCTCTCGGCCGCTTTCGAGTCACAGGAGTGACATTGGCTGTTCTCGTATTGATTTATATGCCCGCCGCTGCATGCGGCCCGGCCGGTGAGCGACGGCCACCTCGCCTTGCACTTGAAGATGCAATCGAACGGTGCCTTCTTTCGTTTAAGGAGAGAGAGACGATCGATGGTGTCGTGCCGGAGAGCACGCGCACGTGCTGCGCATCGCATCGCATCGCATGGCATCGCCTGGCATCACCCGGTCCATATACCGACGTCCTCCCGATCCCGTAGAGGCCGATTCCGAATTCGTCGAGACTCGCGCGCATCATCGTCCAGGCCTCGTCAATATCCGCGCGCGGCGCGGGGAAAGGTAAGGAGCACTTGTGACACCTTCTCTCTTTAATTATTGAATCAACGAGCCGCTGCATCTTCGACGTATTCGTGTTAAGCGAGAGGACCGTGCGTTATTATATTAACAGCGCTAATTAACGAAATACAATGGCGTTTTTGCAACGTCGTCGACGTGAGTCGCGATGAAATTAATTAAAGTGGATTCTCATGAAATCCCGTGGTTGATCGAGGATATGTATGATGCGTATGTGCATAGACATGCATTCAACACGCATTTTTTTTTCATGTTTTTTCCTCGTAGTTGAGGCTCCTTAGGTCCCTCGCTTGACTGTTGAGGTGAGACTGTTGACAGATAACGTTAAGAAGAAGCGAGAAAACGCATGCCCAACATTTTTGCGGAATTAAAGGGAAAGTGAAAAAGAAATAAATAAAAGAATGCGTACGTACAATGATACTTGTGATCGATTGAGCGCATTTGTAAAATCACTCGGAGACTTTACTTTTGCTCTAACAATCGGCAAATAGTCGTAAAATTAACGTGACACATAACTTTCCATTTCAATCTGCTTCTTTTCACGACTTTGTCACGTTAATTTTACGGAAAATTTTCAGGATATTGTACAGACATTTCCACGTATTTCGCAAGAATTTTAGTCACACATTCTTTTGCTCTTCTGACGTCATTAATCAAGACGGTCGCACCGAGGACATATTCCATACACCGTTGCAAACAACATTTTTCGTTTTTTTTAGCATTCTTATAGCAGTTACATAAATTCCAGAATTTATGCGAAATTTTGCGTCCTCGTTTCTCGACAAATTGCGGCTAGACTTCGCGTCAACGGATGCTTTGCTCCAACGGCTCGGTTTGCGCCTGAGATATTATTTTCCTCGGTAGATTGCCGTGGACGCCAAGATATTTTACCGTCTGCAGAATGCGTGCAATAAATTTCCGCGGAGCTGCGAGCGTCAGCTCGCGGCGTCCGCCACGTTGCGTTTCCGCGCGGAGGACGGCTTAGTCCCGCTTCAAATAACGATCATTAACACGAAAAGAATAAGCGGATAACGCAACGTGGCCATAACTCGAGCTCTTTGGACGAAGACGGCCGAGGGATCGCCCGCGTCGGACGGAACAGCGGAAAAAAGACATGAATTCGCGCGAGGGTCTCCGGCGTTTTTCGCAACTTTAAATATGCAATTTCATCCCGCCGGTTCGGCCGGTTCATCCCGCCGGGCCGGCCGGCGGTCTTCTGAAGTCTCCCAGCTTGATGTCGTCACTTGGCTTGCGCGTAAACAGGACGCGAGCTGAACCGAAATTTTTAGCTCTATATTAAAGATTCGTCTACAACGCGGCCGTAATTACATCTTATAATCGTAACACTAGTCTGTCATCAAGTATGTATCCGTTCGTTTTGAGTAAATTCCTGAAAAACAAAAAGTTTTATCGACGAGTCCAATGAGACTTTTCATTCTTCACGAGAGTGCTACGACTTTAGAACGTAATCGCGACCGCATTGTAAACAGTTCTTAAAGCAGTTGTTTCCTCGTCGCGGAACTCTCGATTGATGACGTCAGAAGTGAGAAAACGCATGCTCAAAATTCCTATGAAACACGTCGCAATAAAAGTGCCGTAAAATTAACGTGATATGCAACCCTTCTTTCTAGCCTACCTTCTCATATGTTTTTATCTCTCATGTTAATTTTACGGCTTTACATTTATTGATTGTTGAAGTAGAAAGAAAGCTTTCGAAATATATTTTACAAATGTGTTCAATTAACTACAAGTATCATTTTACATAACATACTCTTCTATTTCGACATATTCCGCAAGAATTGTGGGCACGTTTTCTTGCTTCTAAAATCATTCATCAAGATGGTCGCGGCGAGGAGGACACAGGAGCTCCAATTTCACAAATTCTGTCGAATTTGAAGGACTAATAAGGGTTACTTACCGCTGTTATGTTGCTTAAAAGACTTATTCAAAAATTGTTTAATATTTTATAATATCAAAAATTTATGTTAAGGAGGGATTTATCTAAGAATCATATAATATCCGATTATCTCGATAACTTGCTCACGTTTAATTTTTATTCTCAAGTTCAACAAATGACCTGTTAATTACTCAGTGGCACAGACAGAGTATGTGCGATGAGCATGTATTAATCTAACAACTCTACGTCGACGTCGCGCGTCAATTAAGATAAAAGTATCAAATACGTGCCGAACACGTACTTAATCCTGAACATTCTTATTGTTTTTTCTTATTAGTCTTTATACGAATATTTAAACTTTCAACATAGAATGTATGTATATACTCAGTACTTGTATATATATTTTATGTTAAAAGTTTAAATGTTTATATTTAAAGAGCAAAATAATTTGAAGAGCATAAGAATGTCTAGGATTAGGTATATGTCCGGGTATGAGTACTTTTACCTTAACACATTCTCTGATCGACTCCACGCGAGTGTCAGTACCAGTGAGCTTCGGAACCACGGAACAGCCTGGAACGAGATGCTGAATCGGAAATGCAGAATGCTACGACATATTTCCATATGTGTGTCCAATTATTCATCGCGCAAAAAATGTTTTTCGAATTCGACGGTCGTTTAACGACCGAAACTTACCGAAAATGAAGAGATTCTCTGGAAATCCTTCGCTAACTTCCTTTTCGCGCGATAATCCAGTTAATGCCAGTGGTGGGAACGGAACGTTGAAACAAAACCACACATCAGAGCAAAGAAAACAGTAAAATTCGCCGATCGATTCGAGTCGAACTTTCTCCTGATGTTTATAGGACATCACAAAAGTCTCTTCTCTTTCTCTTTTTTCTTCTTTCTACATAAAATATTTCTTTTCTTCAACTTTTTGTAATTTCAATATCCTAACAGGTCTGAAAATCCTAAATGGTCTTAAATCTCAAACGAAGGTCTTCCATCACAAAGTGTTTAGATAATCAATCTTGGTGTAAATATTGCCGAGATACAAGATTTTCCCGAGAATCTCTTCGAAACAGCTGCCAATCAAAACTGAATTGTCTGTTTCACAAAAGTGCCATCTAAGATGTTGGCAACTTACCTTCTCCATGTGCGGTAGATTTTGTATAGCACTTAGCAGTTCGTCAAGCATTAGAACAGACGGAAATATAAAGAAAAAAAATAAGAAGAATAAGAAAGGACATCCAAAATATAAAAGACTGAAATTCGTTAAATATCATATTCGGGTCTCTTTTCTTCCTACACCTCTCGGCATCGTCGGCGTTATTGTCATGTCTGAGATTCGTTGCCGCAATTCCTGGCGCACCGCCATCGCGCACACTGCATGTATATTCCTTTCTGCTCCTTTCCTCTCTTCCTTTCTCTTCTCACGCTGCTTCGTTTCGCTCCTTCGTTCGTCGTGTCCGGCATGTTCGGGCTGGGCTTTTCCTTCGGCTCTTCGGCCTTTTCAGGCTCGACAATGAAAGCGAGAGCCGGTTGCGCGCGGACCGCAGCTGATCCGCAAGCCGCCGGCTCCAGTAATTGGATACGACAGTTTTTAATTAACGTGTCTGTCGGGACGCGAATTTGCGTCTTCGAAAATGCCGCGGATCCGGTCTCTTGATACGCATCATTTATCGTCAACGTGCTGCGTTCACGTCCCCCCGCGGGTCTGCGTTAAAAAATACACCGTTAACGCAAAACGAAGTGAATCCAACTTGTAGCCGTTCAGGCATTTTCCCCGTAGAAAGAGTTCACCGACTCCTTCTGCAAAACTCCGTGTCTACCTATTGGAACTTACTGAGAATGATCCATCATGACCGTGATCCTTGCGTACAATCGGCGCGTCTCGTCTTGTTTCGATACGAGATCTCTAGAAACCGGAACACAATGGCTCACAATAAAAAGACTCCGGAGCTCATAATGGGCCCGGTTTAAGACCCCCGCAATTACCACGATTACGGTCCGAGCTCTCTCCCTTCAGCCTTCCCCTCTCTCCATCTCTTCTCACAGTCGCTCTGTTTCGGCGGCCCAACATGCCCAGGTCCATGATTCAGGAAATATATACGCAAGCGAGAACCTCGACGTTCGAGGTCTCAGACGAAACCGAGCGGGCTCGGTTGAAAGAGCGCCTCGGAGTATTCAATTAGCTGAGGGGAAATTCACCGGGAAGATTTTACAGGAGAGGATTTAAAGAGAAAGAAAATGTAATGAAAAGCCACTTTGTATGGGGCAAAAGGAGGAGGAGGAGGACAATGAGGAGACTTGTGCCTCAGAGAGGTACTCTCTGCAAATTCAAAAATATCACGACTTACACCGGATGAATCCTTTGAGGGAAGGTCGGCTCGGATGGAGATGCGACACGCGTTACGATAGCGCGTCTGCCACCGGAAAGAGAAGAAGAACCTTAGTAAGAGTAATTTTAACATGAAATATAAATATATTTGGGTGATATTGTACAGTCAGTGATTCGTTCGTATATACAGAACTATGTACAAGCCGAACATTACATGTCGAAGAACACTCGCACATTCTGTGATCACTCTCGCACATTCATCCACACCCACTCTCCTGCCCACACGTGTGCGCGCGCACACACGCACGCACGCACACAGTCGCACACTCTATCGTCCCCGCACACATTCGCAGCAAACGCACACACGCGTCGTCGTCGTCATCGTCATCGTCGTCGTCGTCGTCGTCGTCGTCGTCGTCGTCGTCGTCGATCGTGTGTTCTCGGTCGCACCACTACAACGGCGATCCATACACGGCGTTCGCGCACTCGTTAATTCGATTCTCTCACGATCGGTTCTGCTCGCGTTCCATCATGCTTTCTCTTTCCCCTTTTCTCCCTTTTGCTTTTAGCTTGAGTCGAATAGTTCTGGCGCTCGCACAATGTGGCCGCTACACGCGCCGGTCATCCTCGGTCCGCGTTATCATCGGGTTTCGCCGATTTCTCGGAAGATCGTACACTCCTCCTCCGCTTGAGCTCGATCAGTGATGAGGTCGAGCTCGAGCTTCCCGGTATCTTAACGCACCGTTG